TTGTTAAGCAAAGGGTGTAGTCTACGTATAGCGAACGCTTCTTTAAACAATAGGATAGACCAGTTTCGGGAGCTGTCAATAATGTTAGTACTAGAAAATATTAAACCTAATTTATTACTTACATTACAGACGACATTACCATTTTCAAGTATACCCTGTAATCCTAAATCCAAATTGGAATGCCTCACAGTTTTTAACATGATCAAATATAACACTATCATATCGTGAAGAATGTTCTTTAAGTCTAGTTATTAAGCACTATCTGTCTTACCAATATAATCAATATTGCAGCCTGGACATTTAAAATGATAGACAGCAGAACTTCTGTACTCCTTAGGGGTTTGATCCTTAGTAGACATAAAATGAGAAACATTTTTATACTGCCATAAAGTTATGAATTTTACCTCTTTAATTAAGTGCTTCTTTACCTTATTTTTTCCTGGTTTTCCTAGATAAGGCAATCAGAATCTAACCCAAATCTTAATCAAGCTATCAGTAGGCCTATGTATACATTTAGGCTCATTTAATTTCTTAAGTACATTATTAACAACTTTTAAAGGGTACCCTTTCCAAGACATAAACTTCCTGATTTTACTAAGCTCTGTTTGAAGTTTATTAGGAGTACACAATCTGTGGGCTCTAGAAACTAAACTACGAATCCAGGAGATCTTATGGTTCCATGGAGCAAAGCTATCATAATGAACATCTTGACCTGTATGTGTATTTTTACGATATAAACTCATGCTTCCTAAACTGTTGTTAAATTGTAAATCCAGAAAGTGTACTGTGTCACTGTTTTCAAATGATTCAAAAGTAAAATTTATCTGCCTATGAAAAGCATTGAAGTAGCTTAGAATTTGCGGGAAATCATTAGGCTTAGCTAATACTAGCGTGTCGTCAACAAAACGAGTATAAAACTTAATAGTACCTGATTCAATAAGTTTAGGAACAATAGACTCTTCTAGATCAGTCATTAAAATATTAGCTAAAACTGTGCCAAGAGACGAACCCATTGAGACACCATCAGTTTGTTTATAAAATTCATTATTACATGTAAATACAGTTTTAGTACAGCAATCTCTAAGTAGCTTCCTTAGCGAATTTTTCTTAAGGTTAGTAGA